CTGAGCACACAGCTGAGATTGATGCCTCCTGCATGTGCTGGGTGCATTTGTCTGAGGCCATTACTGCATGTGGCAAGCTGTTGCTGTACTGATAATTGGCTGTGAGAAAGTTACGTTTTTAAAATATATTTTGAAACATTTTCTCTGATTTAAGAGGTAAACATAGTATTACTTAATATCCTGCTCCTGCTGTGTAATGGGTTCATGGAAATACATCGCCAGAACTGAAAGGACCTGTATTGACCAGGACTGTCACTTGTGAGGCTGTGGAGAATCAGTGGTGAGAGCAGAGGTACAAAGCTTGCCTGCACTCACTGCAGGTTTTCTGTTTCAGTGACGTGTATATTGTATGAGTAACTTCAACTGGGCAGGTGCCCTTTACTGTAAAAGAAGACCAAAGACCCTGTAAGCACCCAACTGCACAAATCAGCTTTGTGACTTTGATGCCTTAAGCAGATTCTTGAAGATGTGCCCGATCTGTCACACTGAGAATGTATAATCTCAAATGACACATTTGTTCCAGAGCCAATTTGAAACTGGCTGTACAGACCACCAAGAGAGGTGCAAATGTGAGCAGGAAGGAAGGGAAGTAATTTGGAAGAGAAGTGCTGCCGGTTGGAGCTGTACATCACTGCTCAGTGCTGATTGACTTTTCTCCTGATTTCAGCACCCGTGTTGCTCTGGCCAGGCCCCCAGCAGTCCTGGTCTCCCCAGCAGATGGCTCAGAGAGAGGCAGGACATTTCCCCCTCCCACTGCTTGCAGGGAGCATGGGAAGAGACAGCCACAAGCTGCTGGGAGCATAATTTGCTATTGGGTTATGTGGCATCCTGGCTGCCATCAATTACAGCTGTCACTCGGAATGAAAGGGACTTTACATCCAAGCCATCTCCTGCTGGTGAGGACGGGCTGTGGATGCATTTTGAGAGGAAAGAAAATGAGGGAAGTATTATGCTGAAAATCTGCACATGGGAAAAGGATATGAGGGAAGTTACAGTTAAACAAAACACACCCAAGCACCTGCTGTTACCTGCAAAGACATGCTATCAAAATGTAAATTAAACAACTTTTTCTAGAATTTCGTTTTCTGAGAATAGAGAATTGTACTTAGGGAGAGAGGGGGGAAAAAAGTCTGGTGCACAAGCCAGCAGACCTTTTCTTGCTGAGCAGCTGATATCAAAATTGTAGCCTGGTATCACAGGGAGCCAGAACAGAGGAATATTTTTCTCTCACACTGTGGGAGCAGCCCTGCAGTTCAGGAGTCTGGGGTGGCTCTGAGCTCTGTCCCTGTGCCTGATAGCTGTAGTCAGCTCTTCTCTCCCTCCTCCCAAGCTTACACTGCAGACCTGCTCCCACAGAACTGGAGGGATCCTCTGTACCTGACTTGCATTTGCTGGTTTTGCCTTTCCTGGCTTCCACTTCCACATGCTGAGCTCATGCTGGAAGTAATACTGCCAAATTGCTTTCTCCAGCTACTCATTCTCAATTGACTCTTCTCCATGGGAAGCTTTAAATGATGCCCACAGGCATCACAGAGCCTGAAATCCCCCTTAACCCTGGTATTTCAGAAGCGGTCAAGGTGAACAGAGCTCAGATCTCTGCTTTAGGAAATGATGCACACTTGTAACAAGTCATTACCCTAAAAAGAAGAAATGAGCCTTCATACAGTATATGTTGACCTTCACTAAGTAAAATACAATTTTTCAGCTGTTTTATATGCCTGGTTGTGCATAAGCATGGCCCCTCGCCTTTTTTTTTTCCTCCAAGTGTAAGTGGTACAATGCTGCAGTGTTTTTTCAAGGGAGCCAAACTGAGAAAATATTCTAAAATCCACATTTTTTACTTTTCTGTGGTAACCCAGTTAATTTATGGAGGATAAGAGGATTTGTAGAAGATAAGAGGAACCAGCCTTTGTGAGCGCTTGAAACTCACTGCCATACTTTACCTTCAGGCACTGTAGATCTTTACCCTCCAGGATTTATTCACAGCAGTGGACTCCAGCTGTGCTCCCGGGTGAATTAGAGCTCTGAATTTATAGATTTGCCCACTAATCCTTTCACTGGCACTTTGGATCAAGGCAACTGGAAGGTGGTAGTGCATTTCTTATAGATAATGTGCTGCTTATCACCAATGGTAAATATCTCCTGAGCTGTCTAATCATCACAAAACTTGCATTTGGTGTTAGCAGGTTGCTTGTAATTTGCTCAGATATGCCTAAAGAGAGCTGTTCTGCCATTCATTTTACACTATCCATGGCATGCACCGGAGACTCTGGGCCAGGAGGGACACCTTGCTTGGCAGGCAGTCATGAAAGTTGATGGGTTGAGACAGGGACCTTCCTCCGTCCAGATTTCTCAGCAGTGCAGGGCACTAAGAGCAACAAAGACCCTCTGGTTTGTGTTTGCAACACATCTCTACTAGCCTTGTGTTTCTTTTCTGGTCATTTCATTATGTGTTCAAGCTGTTATTGTGGTAACTCATTTTCTCCTACTGAAACACTGGTTACCAGCCACTTTTCAGATCAGTTTTGCAAATACAACACAGAGCATGCAGAGTGCCTGCTGAGCAGACAGAGCAGCAGTTAGTGTCACAAAAGAAAAACAAACAAACCTGAAGGACTGAAAACATTACCATGGGAAAAAGATGTCCTAGTGATGCCATCAAGTAAGATCATGGGAAAACAAAACCAAATGCCTAGAAAAATTTCTTCCCCTATCCTTCCACTCCCTCCCCACAAGGAAAAAAAAAAGGGGGTTGAATAATTTGTCTGCTTTCAAAGTTACATAAGTCTCCCAGAGATAAAAATCTGTGGTTTCTTAAGTGCGGCAGTGTGGTCTTGTGGCAATTGCGTCTGTGTGGAACCAACTGCCTGCAAAACTGCATTACAGGTAGAGATACAACTTGGTAATTGCAAAATAAATTACCAATTTAAATGTATGAAGGAAAACAAGTGAGCTCACCCACCAGCTGAAATGTCATGAGCTGCATCATTTAAATTCAGCCTCCCCTTGAACCCAAAGGAGCGCTGCGTTCAACTGTTTCACTGACCCGCGGATGGACAGACTGACAGGCTCTTTGTTAGAGAGGCAAGTTAGGAAATACCAGAGCAAGGTTGTCCATGCAACCTTCCTTTCTGCTCCCCATGCACACATACCACAATATGGGCTTTAATTCCACAATCCCTCAGTCATTTTCCACTGGCCCTCTGCCTCCTACAGAGTGAAGGAGGCACAATGCCTTCTTAATGAGCAGACAAGCGGTGGCTTGGCTTATTATGATTCTCTCTGTGACCATGGACCCCATTCAAGTCCTGCTCTGAAAACATGGTGTTTTGTTTCCAGCTGTTTTACAGCTTCTTCCACCCAAGTCTCACAGCCCTTCACGTGCTCAACTCCTATTCAGTGATTAACACCCTTGTTTTACAGATGGAGAACAGAATAGGCAAGTGTCCTCAGAATCTACAGATTCTTGCAATGCCATGCCAATCCATAATGCTGGGGCACAGCCCCTGAGGAGGGCTGACGTGGCTGTGAGCTCTGCACCTCAGCACTCAGCCCCTGGCATCTCCACTCATCCCTCCATGGAACAAGAGAAGGTGGATATGGCCAGCCCTTGCCATGGCCCTGTGGTTTCTTGGCCATGGCCCATGCAAAGCACAGGTTGTACTGGAGTTGTATAACCAGAGCTGTGCTGGACCAGGGCAGAGGGGTCTGTGAACTCCACAGATGGGGCATGGCATGCATGACACCAGCTAGCTGCCCTGGGATGGGGCAGCTTAGGAGAGCAGCTGCCTTGGAAGTGCTTTTACATTACCTGCCCAAAGCTCTCTCCTATACCTGCACAGGTGCCTTTTCTGATACTGCCACAAATGGTTAAGGTAGACTGCCAGAGAGAATCTGGGGGTTTTTTTGGGCTTTTGTTGGTTTTGTTGTTTTTGTTTTGGGGTTTTTTTAGAGGTTTTTCTTTTTTCTTTTTTTTTTTCCCTTTTTTGTTTCAGGAATTTTTGAATAAATAAAGTCTTCAGATTTTCACTTCAAACCCATCTTGAGTCTGAGCAGATGGGCAGAAGCATCAGCTCAGGTAGAACTGGCACAGGCAAACCCTACTCTCACAGTGTAGGACTTTCCCCTGCTGGGTTCTGGAAAACAAGCTGAGCTCTGCAGCTTGTGACCACTGCTGCACTGTGGTCATTATTTTTTACCAGGTGTGAAATGGTGATGAAATACTCTTTTTATGTTAAAGCACCAGCTCCCCTCCCCAACTAATCTCCAAGCAAAGTCAACCCCCAGTTGTGTTGGGCTGTGAGAAGCTGGATTGCTGAATATCTCACTACAAAATTAAATAATGGTCTAAAACTAGAAAGCAGAACTTATTTGTTAGATCTGTTATTCCTTTCAAACACCTTAACTTCTTCTTTTCTGCTATGCCTTTTCCTTTGGAGGTGCTACCCTTAAAATCTTGAAGACTCTTTGCAGAGTTATCCTTTGTTTTGGTCATCCTCTCTCAGCATCTGTAGCGATGCCTGCAAAAACTTCAGCCAGCAGCTTGGCCAAGGCCAGCTGATTACTTGAGCTGTCCACAGCGTTCATTTTTTGCTTTGGTCTTCTCTTGCACTGCATGATACATGTAGCATATGGCTCATGAGCACCCTACATGATCAGCTATGGTGCAGGCAATCACTGTTAGTGGGTTTGGGTCTGTTGTTTGGTTCTATTTTTTTCATAGCTGTGATGCCACCCAAGAATTGTGAAGGAACCAGTAACATGCTTTGGTTATAGGAGGTGCTTGGAATATGCAGCTTTTCCACCATGAATTGGAGGCAGGAGGAAAAGGGCTGTGAACAGTCAAGGATGAAACCTCATGTTCTGCCTGTGTTAGTCCTGTTATTTTTTTTAATACCAAATTAATATCTGTGTATTTAAAAATGGCCAACCCTGGCCTCAAATGTTACTGCAACTGCAAAGTTCCTCGTTTTCACATAGTAATGGTGCTTTTGTTGCAGATTGATGTCCTCAAGGCAGACGTGGAGAGCGCCGAGTGGAAGATTTTGGAAAACCTAATCCTGGAAGATGTTGTTGAGCAGATAGGACAGCTGGTCTTTGAGGTGCACATCCACTGGCCTGGCTTTGAGGTCAGTGGCAATGACAGCACCGTGGTGCGGTACTGGTACAGTCTGCTCCGAGAGCTGGAGCTGAAGGACTTCAGGCTTTTCCATACCTACAAAGACTTATCAAAACCACAGATGTTTCTGAAAAAGGAAGCCTTCAACGCCAGTAGCTGTTACACACTGAGCTGGGTAAATACAAGATGGAAATAGCAGACAGGAATTTATGATGTGTGATTGTGAACCATCTGGCCCCGTAGTGTTGTTGAAGAGGATTTTGGTGTCACTGGCTAAAGTTGCTAAATATGCACACAGTGACTGCTAACAAAATGAACTGGCTTTTATATTTATATGTTGTCAAAAGAACTGCCACTAGGAGAAGATATATGGTGCAGATTTGTACAGCAATATATTTGCCGGAGGGTACATTGTCCCACAGGACAGAGGTTTCTGCAAAGGTTTGTCTGGGGGAGCTAAGAGTATGGCTTTTCCATGCCTGAGCATGCCAGCAAGGAGGGCATCCCTCTGGGAAGCTCTGCTGGCTGAGCTGGACCAGCCCTTGGTGATGAGGTGTCTTTTTGAGAAAGTGTCAACTGTTACTTCTCTGTAAAGTGATCATCTTTGATTTTCACCTTTTTTACTTCGGCCTTGTTTCCTATGGAACAAACCTGAGGCAAGAACAGTATGTTCTTGAACGCACTGGCAAATTTCAGAGAATTTGGCAGAGACAGAAATCACCACCCAACTAAATTCCTACCTATTTCTTTGAGCAGCTTCTGAATGCCCTGACTTAGGTTTTTTAAGCTAGTCAGGCTGCAGAAAGTGACTTCAATGCTTCTGACACAGGAGATGGTGGGACAGAGACACTCAGCTGCTGGATAAGCTGCTGCCAGAGCTCCCCTTCCTCACCTGCAAGAGCCTTCAGCCACAGAAGACAGGGCTTCTCTAGTTCATCTGCTCAAAGAACAACTTGGTTGAAATTACTCATGCAATGGCTGCAGCAATTGGTTTTTGATCTAGTGAGATATGTAAGAGATGAAAATGCAACCTGGTGTTTTTGTTTGTTTTGGGGTTTAGTTGAACATTTCCTGGTGCCTTTTCCAGTGCTGTGCCTCACCACCTTGTCTCTCCCTGGCATAAGGAGGCTAGACCCTGAATCTGCACTGATTCTGGCAGAGGTGGCAGCCCAAGCTGGTGCTCTGGACTGCAGCTGTGCTGGGGCTCTGCTGGAATGTGGATTGTCTGCAGTGCCCCTGGGAGCCTTTGACATTCCCCAAAGAGCTAAGGAATGGGGGGAGCTAAAAATTATATATCAGGTTGGATTTTTTCTTATCTTTAGATGAATTTTGATATTAAACTTTTCATTAAAATACAAGATGTCACTTTCATGTCTCTGTTATGTGGACTCTAACTAGCTTTGGTTTCTGACTTCTCCAAGTCTACAGCTTCATCAAGGGAAGTGGTGGAGGGGGAGATGCTGTTCTCCTCTCTCCAGTGACCAGTGTCAGGACATGGAAAAATGGAATGAAACTGTGTCAGGGGAAGTTCAGATGGGTTATGGGGAAAAGGTTCTTTACCGAGAAGGTGGTCAGTCACTGGAACAAGCTTCCCAGGGGAGTGCTAATGGCACCAAGCCTGTCAGAGCTCAGGCAATCTCTGCATGACTCTTTTACTAACCTGGTTTAGTTTTAGGTTCCATGAGGAGCAGTGAGTTGGTCTTGATGATCCTTATTGGGTCTTTTCCAACTTGAGATATTCTATGATTCTATAAAAGTAGCTCCCGTTTCTGCTCCTGCACATCCCACCTGGCCTAGGGCTTTGCAGACACTCAGGTGTGACCACCATATCCTCAGCTCTGCATCAAAACCAAGATGATCTGATGCAGATGTGTTGAATTCCCCATGTCCAAGATGCTGGGCAAAGCACTTTCTTCAGGGCTGAGCTACCTATTGCCATCCCTGAACCAGGTAAAGCCCAATCCAAGAGATCCACAGCCTCTGAAAAATGAGTAAGAAATGCCTTCTTTGTGACAGCCAGCCTTGCTGCAACCCTCATACATTAAGTACTGAAACTGTTTAACAGAGGAGATTCATCAAAATGCAAGAGGCTGCCAGGGTTTCCTAAACTAATATCTGGCATGTTGGAACGGCCACGCTCACTGCACTGCAGAATGGCTCAACTCCCATTTTTCAAATAACGGGGTGGCAAAAGTCCAGCTGCAAGTCTTGATTTATTAATTAAGCATAAAAATATGGGTTCTAGCACTGTACAGGTTTTTCCTCCTAATTAGTCTTAGAGTAAGTAGCCTAGTAGCTTATTATCATTTGTTTAAGAAACCAATAGATAGAGGTTAAAAAATAAATTACATGACATCTCTCAGATGTTAAAACTCAAAACAGAAGCACATCTTCCATCATTTATTTCCCTGAAGTAATACGGTGATATGCAAATTACAGAAGTGGAGTAGAGGTCAGTCTTGGTTCTTTGGTTAGTAAGGGAGTTTAATAAACCCTTAGGTAATCTGTTGATTGGGACTGCCCGGTAGTGTCAGAGACACTTCAGGATACAGCAAATATATGTATGGTAAAAAAGATTCCAATAACTATGGTAATTTTAAAGAAAACCTTATCTCTAATACAGGGTAGATAAAAGCTATTTATCATTCTGGAGGATGTTATAGGAGAAAATGAACAGTGCTTATTTAATGCACTCTCTGCTTTTCTACTTCACATCTCTTAGAGTAGAGTTACAGCTTTCCTTTCTGAGGTCTTGCTTTTATGCCCTTACCCCTTCTCTTTTATTGACCTCTTTTACCTAAGGGACAGACCTTCAAATTAATTCATTCCTGTCTCCTAATGACTGAGCTGCTGGGTACGTGCCAAGGGACACAAGCCAGTGCTGGCTGACTGCTGCAGTGGACAGGCTGAGGGATGTTGTGTGGGGTCTGTGTCTACCCACTGCAATACTCAGGCACAATTGCCCCTGACCTACTCAGAGATCATCTCCATGCAGTAACCACATGCCAGTGTTGCACTCCACAACTCTTCCCAGATCACACCTGCACAGAAATCACCACAGCTTCCCCCTTCTCCAAGGATTAGGTACAGAGAGCACCATTAAAACCAGTGTGGACAGGGCATTCTGCTCTTATAGCCACAGCCTGGAGTCTGGGAGCTTCATGACCATGGAGGAAGTCAGACTCAGCCCCAGATCTGCTCAGCATCACCATTACAGGTATTGCCCAGCTCTGCTGTTCCCCCATTCTCCTGGCATGCTATCTCCAGGTGCCCTGGGCATCTCCCCACACTCCCTGCAGGCTCATGCATCAGCTCTCCAGAGCAGCCAGTCCATTGCTTCCAGCCCAGGCGCCTCCTTCCTGCCCAATCCTCAGGCTACTCATGGTGGCCACAGCCAGTGCCAACCCCACCTAACAAAGACACAATGACAGGTTTTGTTCCTGATGCAGAGCCATTATTGCATCAGCTGGACAACTCCATCAGGAGATGTTTCAGGTTGGTCTAAAGTGGATCCTCACAGGGGTAGGGGCAATTCTACTTACACAAATCCTTTTGTGGGGGGTGAGGGCACTTCTCTTTCAGACAGGCTCGCAGTGATTTATAAATCACACACATTTGTGAATGAGATCTTACAGGTGCTGTCCAAAATTTGGTGAAAATGAAGAGAAGCAACAGATGTGAAACCCCTCGAACTATCCCAGCTGATACTGCAACATGGCAAGTCCATGGCAGCACAGAGGGGAATTTGTTAGAACACTAATACACTCCTCCAGGAAAACTGGGCCCTTTCTGAATGTCACATTGGCTTCCTTGGAGGTTCCAAAATTTGCCTAAACAAAGGTCTGACCTCCTGCTGCACTCCAAAACCTGTCATTTATTGCCTGTACTTCTGGCCCCAGGCTTTGATCCCATTGTGACTTGTGAAAGGTTGTTCTTCGAGCACCTCTGTGAAAGAACAAAGAAAGCGTAAAGGGAACATATGTCTGGCCTTCCTTGGCAGATGCCAAGAAGACATATCACCCAGTAGCACACCTGAAGAAATGGCACTCATTCTCTCTGGTGAATAATTCAACAGCTGAGACCATCTGGTTCATTACAAAACTTTTGTTTCATGAGCTTCATTACCCGCTCCCTTGTCCTTGACAGGATGCTCAGGGTTATTCAGTAGGAAATCACTCTTGATTTTTTCCTGCTTGTTAACACAATGTGACATTTAATCGCAGTCAGTAGAGACCTGGTTTAGTGGCAGTGGAAGTTCAGAGTTGACCTACATTCAGAGACATATTTAAACCTGCCCCCCCTCCACTGGCTTTCAGGGGCAGCATCTGCAGAGCAAGCTTGGCTCTTGAAGGGAACCACCTGCAGGAATGAATGGATCTCTGCCCTTAAATAGAAGTCGCTGTTCACGGTGCAGTTTGACCTCATGTGAAGAGTTTTACCTGCTTCAGAAGGAGACCTTTGCAGAGACAGCCCATGTTACATCCCTTATCCCAATAGGCAGCACCTTGCACAGGGAGAGCAGGAGCCCACTTTGCACTGCCTAGAAGGGAAGACTCAAATGTGAATACCATCAGTGCCACGTCCGTACTCTTTTTGGTGGATTATCGACATAGATCTTCGAGTTTAAGCAGTTTTCTGAAGGAACGTGCAGTGGTACACACAGTACAAAACTTCTGCAAGTAATGAAGATGCTTCAGCATCTTACCTGGTATTTCCCCCCCTCTATATTTGAAATTCCATTTCTGAATGAATCACAAACAAAGTGAATCCCACCCTTGCATCAACCTGCAGATATCGAGTGGAGCCACCACCCAGGGTGCCCCTGCCCTTGCAGGGAGGAGGAGACAGGTGCCTGACTGGTGTCAGACCTCTGAGGCAGCAGCAGCAGATGTGCCTTAAGAGAACCTGTGTCTCTCCACTGGTGTCTCTCCACTGATGCCAGCCAGGAGCAGCCAAGACACAGGGACTAGGACTGCACAGACAACCCCAGGCTGACCTCTCAAACTGATTCACCAGGTAGGAGAGGCCCTGAAGTGACTTCCAATTTCTTCTTTATGAAAGAAAAATTGCTCCAAGAAACAGGAGAATCCAGGATCCAAAGAAATATTCCATAATGTTATTCCACTTGTTTAATATTGGAGGAATAATGACAAAAGGAAAACAAAACCCACTTGTCCTGCTGCCTCAAGGTACTCCCAAAGCATCAGCATCAGGGTAGAGAAAGGAGCTTGCAGCAGGGAAGCTCTTCTGACAGAATTCAGTAAGGATTTGGAAACCAGGGAATGGGCCTTCCATCTTTCTCCTGTAGATGTCTGGCCTGACAATGATTTCAGAGTCTGAGTTTCCTTTTTATCTCCAGGGAATATTGGAAGGGATTATTGTTTGAGAGGGTACATGAGGAGGAGCTGAAAGAGCAGGGCTGTATGGGGATGCCAAAGCACAATATGAGCAACAGCTCTGAGCTAAGGCCTG